GCCCTTTGTGGTCGCAGCCCGGGCCGCGCTTCCCCCGACCTCCTCTCGGCCGGCTCGTTCTCATCATTCACGTGTCGGTTCAAATGTCACCTCGTCGGAAAGGCCATCCTCGACCACCCTGATCTAAAGTAGCCTTCCTCGGTCACTATCACGGGACTCTGGTTTATTATCTTCCGGGCACTTAGCACTATCTGCAAGGACCTCGTTTATATTTGTCTCCTTAGTGGTATGTCTTTCCCAGTAACACCCCGCCCCCCACCGCCGGCCCGTGGGAGCTAGGACCCTGTCATGGCCATCTTGCTCACCACATCGCCTACAGGCGTGCCTGACCTAGGCTACACGCTGGTCAGGGAGTGAGAAACTTCTAGAGCAGTCGTTCTCAATCTGGCTGTCCTTTATAACCATCCAGAGAATTTACGAATGACCAGCCCGGGGCTCACTTCCTCCAATTGAATCAACATCTGAGGACTGGGCCTAGGTATTGGGGTTCTGCTAGGGTTTGTTGGCTTTTCTTTTTTTACGCTCCAAGTTGATTTGGAGGTGCGGCCCTAGTTGAGACCCACGGGTCAAGGGGAAGATGTTGCCCAGCAGGCAGTTTTGCTGAAGCATTTAGGCCTGATCAAGTTGACAGAATGAGGAGCTGCGACGTGATTTCTTTCTTTCTTTTTAAAATTCATCGGCCATTTAACAACAAACAAAAGAGCAACGAGGCTTTCAGGAGTCTGCACAGGGGCAAGTGAACCCATGCTAACACCAGGCATCTATCCACTGAGAAGATCCTGCAGCCAATGAGAAATAAATGCATCAGTAGGGGAAAAACCACACACACACACACACACACACACACACACACACACACACACACTCCCCTCCTCCACCCACCCCCCAATCTGAAATCTTCTTGCTTTGCAATTAATCCTGAAGATAAAATTTGTGGTTACAAGGGAGGGAAAATAAAGGAAGCACATGGAGGAGGTGGAGGAGGATCACAGTCTTTTAAAATCTAAGGTGAATTTTTGAGGACCCAGGCAAAACTGGACTTCTTTTTTGAACACATTTGTGCATGAAGCCAACCCCACTTCAATGTGCAAGGCGGAAAGCTAACCAGATTTTCCTAGGCTGCCTTCTCATAAAATATTTACAACCCAGCAAATACAAAAATCCCCAAAGCCCCTAGCTTTCCCCAGAAGCTAGTAAAGTTTGGGTGGATTCAATAGTAAAAGTGTCACCGGTCCTGGTCTGACCCTCACTGCCTGTCCAGATGTAGCCCCAGGGCACAGGATCTGGAGCCTGGGCCACACCCAGTCCCTACTCTGGGCTGACCACGGGGGCCTGCCACCTCCCTCTAAGGCACAAGTCCCGACCTGAGATGAGCTGTGGGAAGGGTTAGAGAGGTGAAAAGGGAAAAGCTGCTGGAGGCTGTTGATTTATGGAAGCCAAGACCTTCAAACCGACCAGGGTCACGTTAAAATCAGTGGGAATTCAGCACTTTCTTCTCCTCCTTTAAAGAGACCTGCATCTGACAATGCTCAGCCACCACCCAGATCTCTGGACTTATCGCCTTAGGCTTCACTTTCCTGGCTGTCATAGTTCTCTCTCCAAACTAAGGATGTAATGAGAGGGACAAACCCAAGGCATCAGCTAAATGTTGTGTTGGCTGATGTAGTATTCATCCTGACTTTATCCATCAGGACAGACTAGTTCTGCAGAACAGGTACTCCTATTGTTCCCATTTTACAGATGGGAAAACCAAGGCTTGGAGGAACTAATTACCAATCTGATGGCTAGTAAATGGTGGAGGGTGTAGTTAAGACCCAAACCTAGGTCTGTGTAATTCCAGAGTTGGAACATTTAGCCCGAAAATCCCATTGCTCCATTGCCCCTCCCTTATAGTCCGGGTCCTGGAGGTAAAGCAACCAGGAGTGGCCAATGTATAAAGGGTGGGAGATACTGTCCAAACTGTATTTTCAGGGCTTGCTAGGAATAAAACCTGGACTCCTTTAGGAAATCACTTCCTTCTCTGCTTACATAACTCTTGAGCTAGTTTGTCACTGGCGGAGAGAATCAGGCAGGTGTAAAGTATGATTTACTTTTTTCTTTCTCATGCAACTCAGAGAAATCAGCCTGCTTTTGTTTTCATTCTTTTTTTTTTTTAAACATGGGCTAATCAATGGCTAGTCTGCACAGCTGAGCCACATTTCTCTAGCCCTCGAGAGCGGTCAAAACAGAAGAAAGCATCTGTAAAGAGGGCTCTACTGGTTCTGCAGCCTTGGGATTTCTGATGATTTTTCTAGCAAGATCAGCCTGCTCTTACTCTTTCCAAGGCTCAGAGAAAGAGGGCACATGAAGGCTCCAGCCTGCACCCTGCTCCCTTTTCTTCCCATATCAGCTCCATCCCACAGTTTGAGGGGCCTCACCTGCATGGGGGTGGCCGCCCTTGCCCGCAGGTCCAAGCTTCCCATGCTGCAGGTGCACACACTGGCAATGTGATACATCCCTAGGAGGACAGACCCAGAGAAGAACCTGCCCCGGGCCCTGGAAGTGAGCTCAGGGCTACATAGGTAAAATTCTGTGGCTCAGGTACCAGAGTGGAGTAATAGCCCTCAAAGCCTCTGAATCTGCATCATCAGCATCACACAAGAACTTGTTAGAAATGCAATTTCTCTTGGGCCCCAGAGTTTTGTAGTGGGGCCCAGAATTTGCCTTTCTCCTAAGTTCCCAGGTGATGCCAATTCTGCTGGTTGGGGACCCCACTTTAAGAACCATGAATCTAGATGAGCACATCAGAGTCTCCACTTTGTGGGGAGGGCACCATGGGAGGCAGGACAAAACAGGGCCCTCCAAAGCACAGGGCCCTGCGCAGGATCTAAGGTAGTAATGACCAGAACCAATTCCCTGTTGCTCCCTGTTCCTTCCTGTCCCCACAGCCTCCCCTACATTGTTTAGTCTCTCAGCCACGTATACTCTCACTGGGTCTCCAGAACCTCTAACCCATGAGGGTGGCTGCCCTGTGCGGCTCTCCTACAGACCACATTCTCCACCTGTCTGGACCTGCTCTGGAGGCATGCATCACAGAAATAGCCCAAAGGAGGCATTCGACCTGAAGAGCGCACACACCACCATCCACTGTGACCCTGCAGACACTTTGTCTGCCGAGGCGGCATCACAAGGCCCAGCCCTGCTGCCATGGTCACCTGTGCAGAGGAAGCCAGCCCTTCACCGTCTCTCCCACAAACCTCCTCCCATAAAGTCCTGTATAAAGGAGGGTTGATGTCATGAAATGACCCTCTCTCCCATCCCCTCACCTCGAAGCAATTACTTTCCATTTCAAAAATCTGTTGGTGGCACTTTCTTACATCCTGAAAGTGAATCCTATGCTGCAGGCCTTGGAATTGAAATTGATCAGTAATACATCAGGGGGCTTTCTATTTTGCTTTTTATTTGCATCAACCTGGTCTGTTACATCCTCCCCCATAAATTCAATGTTTGCTTTGCATTAGACATATAGACCTCTCAAGTTACATTTGCTGGGTTTGTGCTTATCCTCTTACCCTGGTGGGAAGGAAGGGAGGAGAGACGGAGGGGGAAGGAAGGGAGGAGAGACGGAGGAGGAAGGAACAAACCACCTGCATATCTGAAGAAAATTCTTCATAACTAGGTCAGCCTTTTTTTTTTCTGAGTTAAAGGTAAGTCGGAAGGTTGGGAGCAATTCAAACATGCACATTTGGTGTGGAACTGATTAAAAATAAAAATTAAAAAGGAAAGAGAATAAGGAACGAGAAAAAGAACTAATCACTGCAAGGGAGAGTCTGTCATGTCCATTTTAAATGAGGAAATTGGCTTAGAAAGGTAAAACCTTCTGTGCGGGGTCACAGTCTGTGGCTGGAGGAAGCTAAGAAGCAAACACCAGATCACTTTTTTAAAAAAGTGCCTCGGGTGCCCGCGTCCGGACACCCGGGAAACCGCACCCCAAGAAGGCGGCCTAAGGGAAGCCCGCACAGCGCCGAGCGGAGCCTTGTGTGTCCCCTCCCCGCGCTCTTGCAGCTGGAGGCGGCTTCCCCGCGCCACCCTTCAGACAGCTTCTGAAAACCCGGAACTTCTTTCGGTTTGGGAAGGAAAGGACCCGTACTGCATTCCCCAAGACGTCTTCAGACGTGCACGCAGTTCGAGGTCTCTCTTGAGAGTCTTTGCTGGATTTCGTGTCCCTCGCCGGCTGCGAGGGCGTCCCCGCGTTCCAGCTCGCTCGACCCTGGGGACCCTTCACCCTGGGCTTCCCGGCGCCCCTCAGCGCGTGTCCCGCTCGCGTCTCTGAATTCTCGGTGACCTGGGCGGCCACCGGCGGCATCTGGCCGGGCAGGGCCCCACACGCCACAACGCCAAGCGTCCCGCTGCAGGTCCTCCGAAGGCACGTCCTCCAGTAACTGGTTGCAGCTCAGAAAGCCGAGACGACAGTGGGCTCTCTCACCCCCACCCCGCTAGGTGGGTTGGAAGGAGGAGTATAATCACCCATCTTCACAAAAGAAGCTCCAGATGTCTCTGCAGCTCAGCCTCCCCACACCCGCAAAAGCAGCACTCAACGCTCCGGGCGCGCCTTTGTGCCGGCATGTGCTCAGGGCTCTGGTGGCCTCTCTGCGAATCCTCCCCGAAAGCGTCCGAGGCGCGTCGGACTGTTACACTCATTTGTGGATGAGGTAAGGGGCTCTTCAAGATGTCTTCACTTGTCCAGTGTCTTGCAGCTTGTGAGGGACAAGATCTGAAGGTCTTTTTATCCAACCGAGGCCCTCAGACCTGAGGCCACGCCCCTCTTCCAGGGTTCCAATTGAGCGGTGGAGCAAAGAGGGAGCGAGGACGTTGAGACACACCCCCATCACCAAAACCATCAACACAAGGGGAGCTGGGATCCGCCAGGATTTCCTTTTCTTCTTTACTAGAAGGAAGAAGACCTCCTAGCAGGGAATTCATAGCTGGATTTGGAGTCACTGCTTCCTAGGTCCCTCAGCCCTGAGGGTGCCCTGAGGTGCCAAAGTCTACAAGTTGAAAGTAGAGTCACCTGTACTAGGTAAGTAAAAATGAGCCACCAGCCCTCTCCCCTGGGGTATGAAGGCCTCTGAGTAATCTGTGCTCCAACAATTACCCCGTCCTGGGATAGTGATCTCCTGGGCAACCCCCCGCCCCATAATCTTCTCCTGAGTTCTGTCTCCATCGAGATTTGAGCTTAGCAAACGGCTGATCTTGCTAAACATCCACACTGAGGTGTGGATTCAGAAGGCAGCCCACACAATTCACCCTCCCCTGGGTGCTTTTGCTCAAATCCAACATGATCATAGTATCAGACCCTGGTGTAGCACTTACTATCGGCTGGGCCTGATCTAAATTCTTGTAATGACTCATTTAAGTTTCAAAACAATCCTATGGAAAAAAGAAAAGATGTCACTATTATGTCATGGATCAGGAAAGAAAAAAAAACAGAGAGCTCAAGTGTAACTTGTCCAAGATATAAGAGGTAGATATGGCAGTTGGGCTCCAGGATCTTTGCCACCACCTGGACATCCCAGCCCTTGATCTCCGTGTCTGCTAGAAACCTTGAGAAGGCTCCAGTTCTTTCATGCTGCCCATGACTACAGGGAGGGCGTCAATCTCTGATCTCCAAATGTCAGTCACTTCCAAATCAGCAGAACTGAAGGGATGCTAACAATTCAACAGTTGAAAGAGGAAATTTAATTTTCTCATCTGCAGAATGAGAATAATAATATCAGCTCACAGTCACTGAGGGAGGGGTGGCAAATGAGGTAGGATCTCAGGAAAGACCCTGAAGATGTGTGCAAATGTTAGTTACTACTGACAATGTGGAATGAGCCTAGAACCTAGAGTCTAAGGGATGTAGATTTGAATCTGATCTGTAACTTATTGTCTTGGATGGACTGAGTCACATAATCTCTCCCAGCCTCATATGGCTCATCTGTAAAATGGGTGAATGGCCCCACTTTGCAGTGTCATTGTAAAGGTCAGAGTCAAGGCAACCAGAGCTGCATGCATGACAGACAAAAGCACCCAACGAATGCAGCCAATATGACTATAACTACCCACAGCCAGGTAGGGGGAAGAGGCACCTCTCCTCCTCTCGGCCTTCTTTGAGGAGATGCAGTCCAGTCCTCTCCACAAGATATCCAGAAGTGGGTGAAGGAAAGGCGCTGGGTAGAGGGGTAAAGAGAGAAGCAAGGGCTTCCACTTCCTACTCATCTGAGGGTCCCGTGAAGGACAAGGCCCATAAGGGTTTCAGCCCCACCCCCATCACCTTGCTTCTTCTCAATTCCCAGGCTTCAGCCACCACTATGGTCCCTCCTGAAACACCAGGTGATCAAACGACCTGCAGCGAGAGCCTCATCAAGTATACAGCCCTCACTGCAGGTTCCCCTCCTCTGTAGCTAATTCGTCTGCAAACCCATCTGGCTCCCTGGACTGGCAGACACAGCCCTGAGTGGCCTAGTGAATGGTCTCCTTGTCCCACCCTCCCACTTACCCCTCTGGTGCCTCTGTAGGGCACGAACTGTCCATAGAGCCAATTTACTGTGAGAGAAGGGTGTTCCCTATCTTTTTCATCTGGCAGGTTGGAGGAGAGATGGGTTGTAGCAATGACTGACCCCTTGGGCAGGAGTGCGAGGCTGGCTGGGGTACAGTCCGGTGGTCCAGTGCGTCCTCACCACCCACTCACCTGCCCTGTTTCTCTCTAGGTCTCTTGGTTTCCCCAGTGTTTTCCCCAATAGCTTGCTCTGATTTTCTCAGCTTTTTTCCTCCTTTCATAGATCAGAAAGGCCCAAGGGGAGTCCAACACAGAGGCCTTTACCACCCTCTTCCCCAAGCCTCGCAGATCCCCCTCTCCTTGCATCGAGCCTGAGCTTTGTGAACCACATGAGATTAGTTGGGTCTAGTGTCCTACCTGGATCCTGTAGAAAAACCCCAGTGTTCCCACAGAAAGCTCTGGATCAGTGAGTGGCAAAACAGTACGGATGGGAGGGGGAGAGCAGGGGAACCCCGATTTCCACCTGGCTGGGAACAACTTCTTATGCCCTGGGAGCCTCAGCACAGCCTTCTGTGTAACTTCTGACCGCAATGCCAGTTTCTGGCAGGAGACAGGGCCAGCCCTCTACCCTGAGCACGGGGCTCTGGGCACCTCCAGCAGAAGTCCCAGGGCACTTCAAAGAGACTCCTCTTGTCTCTCTAGGAAGAAATGGATCCATTTATAAAGTAGTTTCCATGAACTTGGTGCAAACACTCGTGGCTGCATAGGGGCCCAAGAGCCAGAGATGCAAATCCCAAATTCAGGACACTTCAAGGTCATCTCTTTTCACTGCTGTCCCACCCTGGGCTCCTAACCACAGTAGCTCAGATCTTAATTTGACAACACTGTAGATGGAATCCAAAAGGAAACTTAGTGCCACCCCACACTCTGGGCCTTCTCGCCCCATCTTTCCAATACGCCCAAGCAGCTTGCACCTG